TATGTTGAGATGAAGGTCTCATTTCGGACTGGAGGTTTACCATTCATACTGACGATGGTTCAGCATGATTACTTTGGCAAGTTGTGCTCACTGATCATACGTAAAATTGGTTTGCTGGTTAACCGATTTCATTGATACATTTTGCATTTTATTGGCTACATCTTACAATGTGTTGAAATTTGGTGTCAAACAGATATTTGCAAGAGAAATCCCACACAAAATGAATCAGCGAAATCGGTTGAGCCGTTCAAACGTTATGGTGAAAAGTGTGTTGAGGAAAGCGCTGTCTCGGGCATTTCTATAGGATTTTGACACGCGGACTTTCTATAGGATGTTTCCAGGTCACATTTTCCTTCATAACTTTTCAACGGATTGATATTTGTGAATGGAGCGTGCTTTGTGTTACTTATCTGATTGAGCGCTATTCAATCATGTATGATATGTACAGGTACATTGAGATTTGTACTTGACCATTTACACCTGCTCTTACTCGCCATGTTATATAGGGATACTACCCCTAACTCTCGGTCTGAATTGTCGGAGGAATGAATATCTCGCAAATGCAATGAAAATGATCTTGGTGGTGTTGTCATAGTATTCCGACAGCAGACAATGGGTTTTAAGCGTTCTTCAAGCCCTAACGCTTCAGGCTGGGCTGCTATTTTTATTACCCTACATATGTGTGGTATACTGTATAAGCTATATTGCTATGTTGAGATGAAGGTCTCATTTCGGACTGGAGGTTTACCATTCATACTGACGATGGTTCAGCATGATTACTTTGGCAAGTTGTGCTCACTGATCATACGTAAAATTGGTTTGCTGGTTAACCGATTTCATTGATACATTTTGCATTTTATTGGCTACATCTTACAATGTGTTGAAATTTGGTGTCAAACAGATATTTGCAAGAGAAATCCCACACAAAATGAATCAGCGAAATCGGTTGAGCCGTTCAAACGTTATGGTGAAAAGTGTGTTGAGTAAAGCGCTGTCTCGGGCATTTCTATAGGATTTTGACACGCGGACTTTCTATAGGATGTTTCCAGGTCACATTTTCCTTCATAACTTTTCAACGGATTGATATTTGTGAATGGAGCGTGCTTTGTGTTACTTATCTGATTGAGCGCTATTCAATCATGTATGATATGTACAGGTACATTGAGATTTGTACTTGACCATTTACACCTGCTCTTACTCGCCATGTTATATAGGGATACTACCCCTAACTCTCGGTCTGAATTGTCGGAGGAATGAATATCTCGCAAATGCAATGAAAATGATCTTGGTGGTGTTGTCATAGTATTCCGACAGCAGACAATGGGTTTTAAGCGTTCTTCAAGCCCTAACGCTTCAGGCTGGACTATTTCGTTTATTACCCTACATATGTGTGGTATACTGTATAAGCTATATTGCTATGTTGAGATGAAGGTCTCATTTCGGATTGGAGGTTTACCATTCATACTGACGATGGTTCAGCATGATTACTTTGGCAAGTTGTGCTCACTGATCATACGTAAAATTGGTTTGCTGGTTAACCGATTTCATTGATACATTTTGCATTTTATTGGCTACATCTTACAATGTGTTGAAATTTGGTGTCAAACAGATATTTGCAAGAGAAATCCCACACAAAATGAATCAGCGAAATCGGTTGAGCCGTTCAAACGTTATGGTGAAAAGTGTGTTGAGGAAAGCGCTGTCTCGGGCATTTCTATAGGATTTTGACACGCGGACTTTCTATAGGATGTTTCCAGGTCACATTTTCCTTCATAACTTTTCAACGGATTGATATTTGTGAATGGAGCGTGCTTTGTGTTACTTATCTGATTGAGCGCTATTCAATCATGTATGATATGTACAGGTACATTGAGATTTGTACTTGACCATTTACACCTGCTCTTACTCGCCATGTTATATAGGGATACTACCCCTAACTCTCGGTCTGAATTGTCGGAGGAATGAATATCTCGCAAATGCAATGAAAATGATCTTGGTGGTGCTGTAATAGCATTCCGACAGCAGACAATGGGTTTTAAGCGTTCTTCAAGCCCTAACGCTTCAGGCTGGGCTGCTATTTCGTTTATTACCCTACATATGTGTGGTATACTGTATAAGCTATATTGCTATGTTGAGATGAAGGTCTCATTTCGGACTGGAGGTTTACCATTCATACTGACGATGGTTCAGCATGATTACTTTGGCAAGTTGTGCTCACTGATCATACGTAAAATTGGTTTGCTGGTTAACCGATTTCATTGATACATTTTGCATTTTATTGGCTACATCTTACAATGTGTTGAAATTTGGTGTCAAACAGATATTTGCAAGAGAAATCCCACACAAAATGAATCAGCGAAATCGGTTGAGCCGTTCAAACGTTATGGTGAAAAGTGTGTTGAGTAAAGCGCTGTCTCGGGCATTTCTATAGGATTTTGACACGCGGACTTTCTATAGGATGTTTCCAGGTCACATTTTCCTTCATAACTTTTCAACGGATTGATATTTGTGAATGGAGCGTGCTTTGTGTTACTTATCTGATTGAGCGCTATTCAATCATGCATAATATGTACAGGTACATTGAGATTTGTACTTGACCATTTACACCTGCTCTTACTCGCCATGTTATATAGGGATACTACCCCTAACTCTCGGTCTGAATTGTCGGAGGAATGAATATCTCGCAAATGCAATGAAAATGATCTTGGTGGTGTTGTCATAGTATTCCGACAGCAGACAATGGGTTTTAAGCGTTCTTCAAGCCCTAACGCTTCAGGCTGGACTATTTCGTTTATTACCCTACATATGTGTGGTATACTGTATAAGCTATATTGCTATGTTGAGATGAAGGTCTCATTTCGGACTGGAGGTTTACCATTCATACTGACGATGGTTCAGCATGATTACTTTGGCAAGTTGTGCTCACTGATCATACGTAAAATTGGTTTGCTGGTTAACCGATTTCATTGATACATTTTGCATTTTATTGGCTACATCTTACAATGTGTTGAAATTTGGTGTCAAACAGATATTTGCAAGAGAAATCCCACACAAAATGAATCAGCGAAATCGGTTGAGCCGTTCAAACGTTATGGTGAAAAGTGTGTTGAGTAAAGCGCTGTCTCGGGCATTTCTATAGGATTTTGACACGCGGACTTTCTATAGGATGTTTCCAGGTCACATTTTCCTTCATAACTTTTCAACGGATTGATATTTGTGAATGGAGCGTGCTTTGTGTTACTTATCTGATTGAGCGCTATTCAATCATGCATAATATGTACAGGTACATTGAGATTTGTACTTGACCATTTACACCTGCTCTTACTCGCCATGTTATATAGGGATACTACCCCTAACTCTCGGTCTGAATTGTCGGAGGAATGAATATCTCGCAAATGCAATGAAAATGATCTTGGTGGTGTTGTCATAGTATTCCGACAGCAGACAATGGGTTTTAAGCGTTCTTCAAGCCCTAACGCTTCAGGCTGGACTATTTCGTTTATTACCCTACATATGTGTGGTATACTGTATAAGCTATATTGCTATGTTGAGATGAAGGTCTCATTTCGGACTGGAGGTTTACCATTCATACTGACGATGGTTCAGCATGATTACTTTGGCAAGTTGTGCTCACTGATCATACGTAAAATTGGTTTGCTGGTTAACCGATTTCATTGATACATTTTGCATTTTATTGGCTACATCTTACAATGTGTTGAAATTTGGTGTCAAACAGATATTTGCAAGAGAAATCCCACACAAAATGAATCAGCGAAATCGGTTGAGCCGTTCAAACGTTATGGTGAAAAGTGTGTTGAGTAAAGCGCTGTCTCGGGCATTTCTATAGGATTTTGACACGCGGACTTTCTATAGGATGTTTCCAGGTCACATTTTCCTTCATAACTTTTCAACGGATTGATATTTGTGAATGGAGCGTGCTTTGTGTTACTTATCCCATTGAGCGCTATTCAATCATCTATAATGTGTACACGTACATTGAGCGCTATTTAGTGAAGTATAATAGATGGACATGCAATAATATTTCAAGTTTGCAGCTTACTTCTCTCTTCCCATTATATAGTACACAGTCCTCTTTCAGTTATGTGCTTGCCGATTTTTATTTTGTCCTGAAGATAACTGAACTCAACCAGAAGCTTCGCACGAGGCATCGTGGATGAGTTCTTCTGAGGTACATGAAAACCAAATTGGTTCAAAGGTTTTAGTGACCAGAGAGCGTGACCGCAGTGCTCAAAGGATACATGCTCGATATCAGTCACACACGACCTTTTTATGAGTAGTTTTTTTGTTAGCTCCCTACTGGTTGAGACCTTACCGCCGGAGACGGATATCCGTGGGATAAGACGACCCCACCCCTTCTTGTCGGTGGGTAGCATCGTTGTTATGCTGGCTGTCTGAAGGAAACATTTTACTGCCATAACACCCTGTACAGTCAGCAATACGACTTCGCCTTTGTATCTTGGGTTTTTTGCGTTTAATATTACAGTTCTTCGACCGACCTGTCTGGCATGGTAGTACCTTGAGGAACGATGGTCCCAGTCAGTATAGCTCGATTGATTCATCACAATAAGCAAGCTCGACCACCACATCAAGGTAACAACAACGATCGGGAGAGTTAAACTAGGAAAGTTGTGCTAAACTCCAGTTCTCAAACTTATGGTCCCAACATACTTGAACTAATTATAACAACAAAGAAACGAGTGACGCATGAATAAATATTGACTTGAATTCACAGACATCACATTGTACAGTAATTTAGATTCAATCGACTACTAACCAACATAAGAATAGAAAAAAAGCATGTATTTATGTGTTCAACGTTCATAAGTACATATCATAATACAATATAAATTAATTAATGATATACATGAATAAATATAAAGTTAGAGTTAAGATATAAAATTGTAAGAAGTAAAACCCTATACAACAGTATAATTAGTTTTAAAAAGGAATTTACCATGGTAGACTTTACATTATCATGTTTAAACCCATTCTTTAGGATTTTTAAGCACCTCAATGAGAGATTGATTACGTGGATCCTGAGAATTGTCATAACAATAGTTCCATTGCTAAAATAACAATAATGATAATGTTAAGAATAAATAAAGAGAAAACTTGGAATCAGCGGACGAAGAGAAAGAAAACATTCTTCAACGCGCTGAACAGTTGTTTACTCCTTATTTTGGCCCCCGAATACGCTAGTACAACCAAGAGTAGGGAGAGTTAGCTCTCGTTCATGAAATGCTCTCAAATGCCCCCAAATGCCCTGGTACGGCCGAGAGTGGGGAGAGTCCGCTCTCCCTCTCGAAATGCTCTCACATGGCCACGCGTACATAGCCTCTGCCAGGGAAGTCCTACTCACTGCCTTCTCGCACCACGGGCGTTGTTTACGAAAATGAGAGGACGAAATGCGGATGTCCGGCGATTTAACCGGACCCCAAACCAATGGTGCACATGGGCTCCAGTATCCTGATGGAACAAATGGCGTATGAACCAATCGTTGGTCACCGGCTACCATGGGACTGCATCTCCTCACGATGCTCCACTGCCTTGTGGGTCAGACGTTCAGGTCGAAGGCTCGGGTTGTGGCCCCCTAAGAAAACCACCTGCTTCGGTTTGAGCACCTGGGCAGTATCACAGCCCTCACACAGATGAGATGAGATTTGTGTGGCGCATATGTATTTGGTGCCTCCTTGTACCAATACCTATGTGTTAAAATAAATATATAAATAATAAACGTGTATACAGCCGCAGCCAGTGAAGTTCTGTTTACTGTCTTCTCGCCATTGTGTGGTTTTTACGAAATTTAGAGGATGAAAGGCGAACGCCCGGCGCTTTAACTGAGTTGAAGTATAGGGAAGACCCATCTAGGGGGGTTGAAAAACCCTCATTTCAAACAGATGGTGCACATAGGCTCCAGGATCCTGAAGGAACAAAAGGCATATGAACCAATTATTGGTCACAACGACCATGGGACTGCATCTTCTGATGCTGCTTGACTGCCTTGAGGATTAGACCTATAGGCTAAAGGCTCCAAGAGAAGACATCTCTTATCACAAAGATGGGAAAAATGTCCAGTAAAACGTATGTAACTCATTCCTCGAAAATTGCGGCATAATTAAATTCAAGAAAGGTGTTGAGAAACATATAAAAGAAATCATAATAGATCCCTATTGAAATATATTAGTTAACAAGTGTCGATTGATTATCCAGTGTCAACATATACCCCAGACCTATAAGAGCACAATTAGATACCGAACTACTCAGCGATAACATGTTTGACTGAAAAAGTAAGTGATGTGCGTAAGAAACTCGCTATACTGATGAGCGAAAAAAAGTGCCCAAACACCAGAAATTCTATATGATACTCATTAAATGTTATACGAACTGCTACTACTACTTATCAGCAGAATGTATCTACTTACAAAACTTGTGTCGTTCAACTAATTATTATTATTTATTATTTGAACACATAGATATTGGTACAGAGAAGCACCAAATACATATGCGCTACACAAATTTCATTTGATTTGTGTGAAAGCTTTGATACTGCCCGGGTGCCCAAATCGAAGATGGTTTCCTTAGGGGGCCACAACCCGAGCCTTCGACCTAAAGGTCTGATCCACAAGGTAGTGGAGTATCGTAAGGAGATGCAGTCACATGGTAGCCGGTGACCAACGATTGGTTCATACCAATACCAATACCAATAATAATTCAACTTCTTAATAGAAGTAGACTTATTCTCCGTCTCAATGAGTAGTATTCAGACTAGTAGAAAACTTAGGTTCTATATCCTCTACAAAATCCCTCTAACTATTCAATGTTAAACTAAATGTACTGTGATCTGGAGTCATTCATCATCACATGAAAAAATTGACAACACAGAGGAAATAGTAAATTAACTCATAACTTACAGCATAACGTGGTAAAGACATTAAAATACTTTCAATACGAGCTTCTGGGGTGGCTAGACCAAATTTAGTGCCACGATCATAGATTAAATTGAATTCAACATAACGTCCACGTCTTACCAACTGCCATTCACTGGCAAATACAAGTTAAGAAAATATAAGTAAGAAACAATGAATAAATTTACCGATAGAGTAAATAACACACACAAACATATAATGAAATTGGATGATTCATTTATGATTTAATGAAGTTTATGAGATCATTGAATTAATCACTGAATCAGTAATTATCAACATAAAACTTGGCATATAACTGTGTATCGGTTCAAGTTGTCATATTATATTAGCATCAGTCAGCTACAACGTAGGATCAGGAACATATATGCATCGGTACAAGTTGCTATACCGCATTAGCACAACAAGATGAACACTAAATTTATAGAAGTTGTCACTTCAATGGTAGTAATGTCTAAAAGAAAGTTTGCGCATAAGGATATAGTAAAGGAAGAAAGAATTGGTTTGTAGAAAGAAAGATATAAAGCAATTTTAGTTTCACAATTTAATAGAATACAGAGAATGTATACACCCACGCCATTGTGATCGATTCTGAGCCATGTCACACAGAGTCTACGACCAATGGTTATGATAGTTACGCGGATCCCAACCAAGTAGTCTGCATCTACCAACATGACTCACACTAGAAGTTAGTGACTTCAAGCACTGATGCCACGTTTTGGTCTGGCTGCCCCTAACCTTCCTCCATCCATATCCAACACCATCCAGTATTGCGCGTCCGGGTAATCGGTGTTCAGGCATACGTAACACGTGGTCCAACCGTCTCAATCGATGAAGATTCACAACCTCATCAACTGATTTACCATCATTCCCTAATACCCTGCTTCTAACCTCACTAATACTTACCCAGTGATCCTAGCAGATGAGGGTAATATTTTTAAGGTATCTGTGGTCAAATTCTAGTAGCTTACAAGTAACTTCTATTCTTAATAGCCAATTTTCGGATGCGCAAAAAAGAACAGAACGAACTGCCGCATAATATACTCGTCCCTTAAATGATAAACGGATATCTCGCCTTTGCCATAGGTAAGCTGACAAAAGCCAAACAAGCTTTTCGAATCCGTGTCATATCAGCATAGAGAAATGAAATTATGAATAAAAACAGATTAGATGTAAAAAATATGATTTGAAGATGATTTTAATCTGAATGAATGAATGAATGAGTGTTAAATTACTGAGTTGAAAATTTAGATTCCATTTTATTTACTCTGGTTTAACCAGTCATTTAGTCATATATAGAGTATAATCTAACACATGCGTATCAGTTTAATTTACAGCACACCATGTTAGCACAGTCAGATAGAATGACTTCACGACAAATCCTACAGTAGTAGAACTGGCAACAGTTGGGTGATTCTGTGTGCTAACACACAAATTGCCTAATTATGTTACGATAATCACACAGACACAAATCATTTAGTCTATACCTAACTAAATGGCTTAGTTCAACAGTCAATGAATCCAAGTCCTGGTTTGGTCAACTTGAGTTTTCTTTATAACTACTTACACTGGACAACATCACCCGTCAAGATAAGAAATAGTCTGGTGTATGTAACACATGTTCCAAACATCTCATTTGATGGATATTCACTATCTCATCAACCGATTTGCCATATTTACCTAGTATCATATATGTAAACTTGGTCCCAAAATACACGAGCAATGCTTTGATGACACTTGCGATCGAATACTAGTAGTATAAGAATATTCGTAACTTTTAATGACCGTTTACCATTCATAAAGTAGAACAAAGTTTTCCAGCAATATCTATAATTCGTGATAAATAATTTAAAAGTTTTTGAATGAGATCATGAATCGATTGATGTTAGATCATCATGGATATATCTGGAAGCACTGGATGGCCGTTTCGTCCTACTCCGGGACTCCTTAGAAGTGCGCATCCACGATCCTGTTTGCAGGATTCGAACCCACAATGGGACAAAATGGCCTTCCAGTACTTCCACGTTTTCAATGATGGTTTAACATCAATCGGTTCATGATCTCAATCAAAAATATAATAATCTACATAACCCTATATTGATAATTAAAATATGTATTAAACAAACTGATTACTTAAAATGGTACTTGATAAATGAGCTACACTGCATATTACATCCTAGAACTGTTATATATATATATATATATATATAAACACATTTATGTAAAGGAATATCTTCACTTGAAATAGTATGTTATAAGTAAGATTTACCGTTCTTTGTTAGTATACTTTAAATGTTTTCGTTTTTCAACAATCGGTAGGTAAGCTGGAATGATTGCTTCAGCACATGACTGAAAACAATAAAATTAAGAGACATGCACAAATAGTGTTTTATTTACAATTAGTTTATTGCATAATTTGAATTATTTTTTTTCTAGTTAGTGCCTTCTTTTTAAAGAGAACACAAATTGAGGTAAGCACAAAACTGCATCACAAGGCAAGTCTTCATTTGGAATCCTCAAGGCCGACGGTGGTGAAGAGGAAGATCAAAGAACACATTACGTCGAGAAATGAAGACAGATATGAGAAGAATGAACAACAATTGGATAGAATTAGAAAGAAAGACCTAAGACAGAGTGGGTTGGAGAATGCTGATCGGTGGTCTATTCTCCACTGGGAGTAACAGGCGTAAGTATGTATTGCATAATTTATTATGAAAATCTCTAAACACTCTTAATCACTAAAACAGTAGATCGGTACTATGTTTAGTATGTTTCCAGAAAGTTCTATAAGATTGAGGCCATGTGTAACTTTATAAATACAGTCGATTTTCTATAGATGAACTAAACATGAAGTGAAGCTCATACAATTTACGCTTTTTTCACTTTTCTTTGAGTGTAGGTATGATCTGGGGTTATAGGGAGTTTGTAAAAAAAAAACTGTCTATATAACAGGAATAAAATTACAAATCGATCGCTAACCCGCGGTTGAGTAGAAAAATTAATAGTTACTAGAAACAAACACTACTATATATCTGTTGCAATGAGAATTGAAGATATAACATGTATTAAAGACAGTGACTTTTGTTACTATGCGATTAAGATATTTATCCAGAATTATCAAATGCTATGACCTAAGAGTTTCTTTAAACAAGATCCTGTATAATAGGCTCCTCCTCTTAAAGCTATTAACTGATGAAACCGTGGCCACATTAACTTATAGACACTTTCACTGTGCACAAACCCAGAAACAAGAGAAGTGATGAGGTTGCGAATAGTTTCCTAAAAATGGGTTATTCTGTGGTGATTACCTCGTAGGTTACTTTGGTGAATCCATAAGAAAAAATCTCCATACTGGAGGGAGACTGAGTCATATGGTAACGCTGTATATCGTTATAAAATAACCTCTTGGATTCTTAAGAGCCTAATAAAAAAGATAACTTGTGAAAAAATTTTAAGAACTTTCGTCTAAATATGATCGAATAGTTTCACAGTATTTGGGCGCCGAGGTGATGTGAGACATTAAAGAGGAATAGTGTAATTGTAAAATCTCAGAGAATTAATTTGAAGGAAATACAACGTTTCGCCTGGCAATCTAGTACAAGCTTTTTCAACAAAATTGATCAAACATAAAAATTATCGAGTGAACCTTCTCCAACGGGCGTCATTTTGTTTCGTTTCGCTTTATTGGTTTGGTTTCTCTGAACACCTGTTTCGATTAACGATTGTATAAAATATAAGTATTCGAAATCCAGTCTTATATTTGACATACTTAATTCCGTTATTCAATAACGTGATTTAAGTCGACGATTATGTACGAGATTCGGTGACATGTATATTTCGATAGAAATAATTCGTCCGACCCACATATATCAACAACAATGAGAGATTTAAGGTCAACAAGAACCAATTAAAATCGAGATCTACAGGACAAGCTGTAAGCCATATGTGGAGAAATTTGAACACTTCATTCCTACCTGAAGTTTGTGGTGATGATGACGTTCAGAAGAACGATGAAATCTCCATGACCAAACCATCCAGCTCAGAGAATAAAACTCCACCAAAACCTATATTGAGCTTAAAATTTACAAAGTCTAAACACACTCAAAAGATATCCCATTTTGAAGTTCGAATAATAACAATTGACATGGAATAATTTTAGTTAAACAACCAATTATTACTAAGAGGTATTGGACAGCAATTCCGTTCTAGTATAGAAATCTTTAGCAGTTTCCATTGATGATATCAGTGGGGGTTGAAACCATGACCCATCAATAACATTTGATGATTACACAATATCGCGAACTGAATAAACATAGACATGTAAGGCAGTGAAAGCTTGTTCAAAAGTCTAATGAGTGCACGTTAATCGTGAAACTTGAATGTTGTGGGTTCGATAACCGACGGGATCATGGATCCTCACTAGTGAGGATTCACATAACATGATGAAATAATTGTTTAATGTTCTTAACTGTTGTACAACTGAAGCTATTTCATGATGTAAACTATTAAACCAGATTACGCTCAGGAAACTTTTAAAGAAAATACACTTACTTTTACAAAACTAAATACTTTTTCTTGTGAAGTATCATCTAAATCGTCAAAAAATATTCCACCAACACCACGTGTCTCACCTAACAACGTAAGAAAGAAAGTTTTTAAGACACATGTTAACACTTTTGTACTACTTTTTCCCTATGGGCTATTATTACCCTATTGGTTACCTATCAATTTAATAAACAACTTTATGCTCCCCTGTTAAAGATCTACTACGAACTCTAAATACAGATGTTTTGCATCCGTAGTCACTTTTATTTAACTTGAATGATGAAGCCTTCCTCCTATTGAAGCTGTTTGGGTATCGGATCATTGAAAAAAAACATTCGTATCATTTACTATCTTGTTTTGCACATACACAGGATATATCTGTCTTGACCCTCATAAAATAATGTGCATCCATAGTAAAACACTTATCCATTCTCCGTTTGAATTATTTCAAGCACGGGTGGGATTCGTTAGAAGTTGAGCTATCCAGTAAGTCGTAAGCAACGTAGAACATGAAACATTCCCATGCATTAGTTTAAGTGGCCATACCATATTAGTATAGGGATTCTGAGTCACGTCAAATACAAAATCTCTAACCATTTGTTATGATAATTGCGAGGATCGTAACCAAGTAGTCTGTACGACTCAGTCCAACAGTCAATGTATCCATGGATTGATATCACCTATTGGTTTGACAAACTCTAGCTTCATTACAACCTACCCCCATATCAAAAAACACTAGGTTTCGATGCAGGCAGTGGTTGGGCATACACAAATACATACCCCAACTCCATAGTCAATGCAGATTCACAACTTTATCAGCCGATTTACCATGTCCGCCTACTAGACTGCATCTAACCTCAGAATTGCTCGCCCAGTGGTCCCAACATACAAGAGCGATGCCTCTTAGACACATATGAGTAAATACTAGTGACTTAGAAATATCCTTTATTTCTAAAGATCACATTTGCCAACCATAAATTAGAATAGAATGAACTATCATAAAATGTACCTGCTGTTCGCTTGTAAGACAGACATTTTACCTACACCATAAGTGACGCAAGTTAGCAAACGCCAACCGACCTTCCTAAGTCTGTATCGATACTTTATCAAACGCCAACCTTTCGAAGCTTATGAGACTTAAGATAAGCGAAATGGTTAGTGTGTTCGACTATTAATTCACTTCTTATCATTAGTTTAGCCGTTGATACAGGCCAGTCCTAAAGCAATACTGAAATCAAAATTCAATGTTGCGCATTATCAGCTTTAATTAATTCTTAATATTAGTGATAAGTCCTTGTCATACTACTGATATGCTTGTAACAAGCATCTGTAAATTTTTGTTTTAAAAAAATAACACATACCTCGATGTGTCAGATAGAAATAATTATCACACCATTTTTTAAAACGTGGATAAAACGATTCGTTATGTTGATCACAAGCCAATTTTAATTGTTCATGAAAATGTTTAGCATCTTCATTAAATAAGTAGTATGGAGTTAAATCTGCTCCTCCACCATACCACCAACATTTACGATTGTTACCCAAATCAACTTCGAAATAACGAAAATTGAAATGTGTTGTAGGAACATATGGATTAAGCTTGAAAATGAGAAAAAGCAGAACCATCGGTAAGAAGAGACATCAAATAGTGATACGTTTCAGTAATGGGCATTCAGGACCCCACAACCAGAAAATCAAACCAATCCAGGACCTATGAACTTGCGCCCAGATTTGAAATAAACCATGGAACTGAGCGATCAACCTTCATTACCTGTGGCAGATAAATTTCTAACATCTGATACGGTTAAACTCCAATGTTCATGAATTCCCAGTAGAACTCCGGGAATTTTCTCTCGGATATAGTCACCAGTGGGCGTATGGTAGCTATCAGTATAAGGTTGTGGAGACTGTTGAATCATATCGATATCACGAACCAGTCTCAGAAAACGATTAAAACCTGGAAGCACTAGACGGCCGCTTCGTCCTGAGAATCAAAACCAAGACTTATGGTCTCGTCCGCAAACACCTGAAACGACCGTACAGCGCTTTTCAAGTTCGCACTGACTCGTGACATCAACAAAATCCAAGCCTCTTATTTCCTTGGGATTCTGTAGCCCATGTGCACCATTGGTTTGGAATCAGGGTTTTCCAAATCCCCTAGGTGGATCCTCCGTGTCCACTAAACCGTTTAAAGCGCCGGACATTCGCTTTTTGTCCTCTCAATTTCGTAAACAACACCCCCGCCAGGAAAAGGTAGAGTAGAACTTCCCTGGCAGTGGTTGTATGCATGTGACCATGCGAGAGCGTTTGGAGAGGGAGAACTGACTATCCCAACTCTCAGCCGTACTAAGTCATTTGAGAGGGGCCTAAGGGAACAAGCCGAGAATTTTGTTTTTCAATACGTAATAAAAAGGAAAATTTTTTTTCTAAAATAAACTTACAGGATGAATAACTGAACTGATACCACAAGCGAAAAATTTGCACTCTTTATTAGGATCAATTTCATTATGTCTACAGAAAAAGAGCGAAAAAGTTTATGTTCACTAATAGTTCAATATACGCAAATCTGAAAAATGAGATTTTCTATTTACTGGTTGTTGTTATTTCAAATGTTATTGAGACAGGTAACATTGTGGCAGCTATTGTATCACCACGTTCGAGACTCCATAACAGTATATATTGATATACCTTCATCAGGGATCAAACTAAGAATCATTAGATTTAGTGGCAAACGTATTTAAATGTTTGTTTAGATTACCGAGATGGGATTCAGTGGTACATTTTCAACCTTAATCATTCCACAAATTGATCATTATCAAAATGTAATTAATGATAACTGTATCATTCATGACATCATTGAACTCTATCTGTCATGACTTCTGATAACCAGAACATTGGTAATCTTGAAGTCAGTTGCTATTATTAAACATATGTTTACTCCTAGGTTTCATTTTATGTGGATGTGTACCAAATAGTTGGTCTAAGACAAGGAAAGAACTACAACAACCAACATCAAGAAGGTACAAGTATTTATCAATAGCTGTCTATGCAAGATAAGAGACTGATCAATTACAGTCCTGAACATCAATGGGAAGATTCAATTAAACAATACCAAGTGAATTTAAAATGAAGATCTTGTTTACAGTTTGATTGTCTAAACACGTTATGAAGGCGTTTACTTATCATGCAGACAGCATGCCTACAACTAAAGAACGTGTGGAACTCAAAGCAACTTTCAACCAATATCAAAGTCAGAATCTTTAATACGAACGTCAAGACAGTTCTTATATACGGAGATGAAGCCTGGAGAACTACTACAACTATCATCGAGAAGGTACCAATATTTATAAATAGCTGTCTACGTAAGATAATCAACATATATTGGCCGAATACCATCAGCAACAGACTTCTGTGGGAGAACAAACAAGCTTTCAGCAGAAGAGGAAATGGGAATGGATAGGACATACATTACGCAAATCATCACACTGCACCACGAGACAAGCCCTAACATGGAATCCTGAATCCTAAAGGCCAAAGAACACATTACGTCGGGAAATAGAAGCAGATATGAAAAGGATGAATAACAACTGGAAAGAACTGGAAAGGATTGCCCAGGACAATGTTAGATGGAGAATGCTGGTGAGCGGCCTATGCTCCTTTGCGAGGAGTAACAGGCGTAAGGAAGTATGTAAGTAAAACAAGGAAAAGATACAGTTGTTTACTACTCTATAGTTGTTATCCATCTGAGATAAAAACTATCATTTCATTGGAACTAATCTGAAAAAAACTTAACACCTAACCCTAAAAGAAAACTAAATTTATTTTCAACTTACATATATAATCTACGCTATCTGTTTAGAAACAAATTACATACATTAGGATGGAAAGAAAACTGTAGTTAGGTATTCAAAAATTGTATTATAATCATAAGTATTAGTTTGAACACATCTACTGTATCCAATTACATGTAAATTATCTGGTTGAATTAAATATGATTTTAGTGGTCCTATATGTGACTCTAATTAGATCATATGAAGGATTGCTGTCGATAAATACATCCTGACTATCGACTTAATACGCGTTATGTGAATAATGGAATTAAATAAGTCAAATATAAGAATGGATTTCCAATATGTTTACTTTTTTACGACCGTTGATCGGAACAGACAATCAGAGAATCGCAACGAATAAAGCGAAGAAGAGAGAGTCAAGTGAGTCGGCAAATGAGTCAACTTCATTTAACCAAGCGTTAATCAATATTTATAGTCACACAAAAATAAGTTACAGACATGTGATGAATAGAATAAGAAGGGTATACATATATGCTTACATAAAAACAGTCAAGACTGATAAGTGAATAATTAACAAGGTCAAAACGTGACTCGACAAGAACGGATAAATTGACCTGTCCAGAAGCTAGAATAATTTATATGGACTTAACATAGTAATCGACATTACATGACTATCGTAACCAAATGTACGAGACGTTGAACAACATATTTCAGAATCAGTCGCACAGAGTGGATGTACTCACTCTTTGATGTCAAAATACTCACATCACAATTGATTGATCACTGGTTGGTGATCAATGTCATGTGTGTCTAATCCTTATTAATGCAGATCGAATGCTATCGACCATGTCTCAACGTGGCTACCAGTCCAGGTGACTCGACACTGCGGGCACTGTTGTTAGATTAGATAGTGGTTGGACGAAGTCGACAGGAAACCCTGAACCCGGGTTTCGTGCTACTTGGCACTCATCAGCAGGGTGTACCTGTAATCTTGGAGGACCTGTTGCTCCCTGACGGATTCGATCCCGTATCATTCAACTTCACAGTCAGAGACGTTACCATTGAGCTATCCGGGCCGCGACCGCAGTGTCGAGTCACTTACACTGGTGGCCACATTGCAACATGATCGATAGCATTCGATCTGCACTGATAATAAGGATTAGACACGCATGACATTGATCACCACCCAGTAATTAATCAATTGTGATTACATCTCAGTCCTACAGGTCGATCGTGGCCCGGATAGCTCAGTGGTAACGTCTCTGAATGTGAAGCTGGGTGATAAGGGATCGAACCCGTCAGGGAGCACCAGTTCCATTATGATTACAGGTACACTTTGTTGACGAGTGCCAAGTAGCACGAAACCCGGGTTCAGGGTTTCCTGTCGACTACCTCCAACCACCATCTAAATACTCACATCTTTCATTCCACAAATTGATTGTTCTTCTCGAATCATATTATTATTGATGGCTTTATTCAATATTATATTTTTGGTACAATATAGAATTCTCAGCACAAAGCATTTCAACAAGTTTCCCTTTCTTATTTCTTGATCAGTTCCTTGCGATAAATATTGAGTGGTCGGCAGTTAGATGTTAGCGGTTCAAGAATGGACATTTGATAAATGTATATCCTTTTCGATGCATATTGCCAGTAACCATGATATCTCTGTTTGAGCTCTTTTGTAACTTGTACAGAGAAATGTCGTAAACTTTTCACAAACGCACCTGAATAGGTTATGAGACTAATAGGCATAATGATGTGTTAAAAAAACAAACAAGAAAACAGATAACTTGTTGAAATATTCAGATTGTAGGAACAGGTAGTCCAGATATTCAAGCAGGCCGCCTGATACTACTATCACTTTTACTACTCTAGTATTTTTTGTCTTAGTAATTTCACTACTCTTTGTTGATGAAATGTATATATATATATATATATATATATATATATATATATATATATATATATATATATATATGGCAGGTTCAGTGTCACTTATAACTAAATGGATACATTTAATATGCTTCTGTAAAAAGACGCATGAAATATAACGGTATATTGGTTTGAAAATGGGAGCATGTGATAAAGAGATAAATAAACTATTTATTTATTATTATTTATTTCAACACATAGATATTGGTACAAGAAGGCATCGAATACATATGCGCCACACAAATCTCATTTGATTTGTGTGAGAGCTGTGATACTGCACGGGTGCCCAAACCGAAGCAGACGGTTCTCATAAGAGACCGAACCCCGAACCTTCGACCTGGACGTCTGACCCACAAGGCAGTGGAGCATCGTAAGGAGATGCAGTCCTATGGTAGTCGGTGGCCAACGATTGGTTCATACGCCGTTTGTTCCCGCAGGATACTGGAGCCCATGTGCACCATTGGTTTGGTGTCCGGTTAAAGCGCCGGACATTCGCCACGAGAAGGCAGTTAGTAGGACTTCCCTGGCAGAAGCTGTATAAGCGTGGCTATGTGAGAGCACTTCGAGGGGGAGAGCGGACTCTCCCCACTCTCGGCCGTGCCAGGGCATTTGGGGGCAATAAAGAAACTAATTAATCTGTAAAACCAGTGGAAAACATTATTCCAGAGATTACTCTGTAAGTATGCGATATTATCATGAATAAGTTTCTATAGAGTTAGTTAGCAGAATAAATAAGTTCATTCAATAATGAGAGTCGAGAATTTCATGTATAAAAGCAATAAGGCTTACCACTACTACTGAGTCCGTTGTTAAATACGCGTTCCAAATTAAAAATAAACTGAATTTTTCTGGAAGTTGACTGAGCATTTACTTTAGTATTCTCCAAAGTTTGAGGTGTGGAACAAAACTGTACAGTGCCTCCCCCACCTCCGAAAATCAACAATAGCAACATAAAAATCTAAAGTTTCACACATCAAATCAACCTAAGTTAAACAATCATTGAAAGCATGAAAATCTTCTGCAATGAGTACCCACAACTCCAATAAGGTTTGAACCCAGGCACTTTAGTTCTCGCGTCGAGCGCCTAACCTTCAGATCACTGTTTTACCATCCAGTGGCTTACATTTCTAACTTTAACCAAATCGTGATATTTCAAGACAATCATTTGTTGCCACTGGTGAAATCTATCTCACACGCATCATGTAGTTAAGCTCCCCTGACAACAGCTTCTCATTAGAATTGATGGCTCTTTAGCATTGCGAATTGACTGAAGTTAGAAAATGCAAGCCATTCGATGCCAGCTAGATGATATAAAGGTTATGTGCACTTGGTGCGATGTTTGGAGTTCCTGGATATCTTATCTCTGATAAAATGTTGGATGTGTACAACTAAATCTCCCATAAAAATGAAGTAGTCACTCAATATTTCCTAGTCATCAGTGGTTATCTGATCACAATCACATCCAACATTCTCCAAAATACCGTAAAGTAATTATTATGAAATCACAGGATATAAAAAAACAACTTTTACATTTGACAAATAAAAACCAAGAGAATCCTGTTAAAATAATACAATTGAAAAGAATTATGAAAAACAGATCAGAGAAACAAACAGCTAACCTTGCACGCATTTCTTTTACAGCTTGAGCGCTAAGATTTCCACTTATCACACTGATGTTTACACCAGCCTTTTCAAAAACATCACCATTCTCTAGAACACATGAAATTCCGCCACCACCCTATTTACGAAAAAAAATGTAAATATATATATAGCGAGAGAGAGGGGATACAATGGATGTTTGTAATTGTACTAAAAATACTGACAGATAGATATGTTGAACTTTAATAATTCATAGAAGGTTTCGTAAACTTTCCTGTATGAATTTCGGTGACATGATAAGGTGGGGATTATAGTTTTAAACTTATAACACTAATCAAAAATGTCGATCAATGGATTGGTTCAATTATGCATCTTAAACTTATCCCATGTATACACATATCTCTCTCTTCAGCCTTTTGAAGAATACCTGCTTCGGTTTGAGCACCTGGGCAGTATCACAGCCCTCACACAAATCAAATGAGATTTGTGTGGCGCACATGTATTTGGTGCCTCCTTGTACCAATATCTATGTGTTCAAATAATAATAATAATAATAATAATAATAATACTCTTGAAGAGTAGAATAACATGATTCTATTTTATTTTGTTCGGTTCTTGTCAGCTGCTTACAACAACTTTCAGTATTTGAAAATCTTAATGACAAAATGGATTGAAAATATTTACATAAATGTGTTTAGTTGGAAGAACTGTTAAACACACATCTGTTTATTTATTTATTTTAACACATAGATATTAGTACAAGGAAGCACCAAATACATATGTGCCACACAAATCCCATTTGATTTTTGTGAGGGCTGTAATACTGCCCGGGTGCTCAAACCGAAACAGGTGGTTTTCTTAGGGGACCATACCCCGAACCTTCGACGTAAAGGTCTGATCTACAAGGTAGTGAAGCATCGTAAGGAAATTCAGTCCTATGAAAGCCAGTGACCAACAATTGGTTTATACTCCATTTGTTCCCTCAGGATACTGGAGCCCATGTACACCATTGGTTTGGAATCAGGGTTTTCCAACTCCCCTAGGTGAACTCTCCATGTCCACTAACCTGGTTAAATCGCCGGACATTCGCTTTTCGTCCTCTCAATTTTGTAAACAACACCCCCGCCACGAGAAGGCAGTGAGTAGGACGTCCCTGGCAGAGGCTATATAGGCATGGCCATGTGAGAGCATTTCGAGAGGGTGAACGGACTCTCCCCACTCTCGGATGTACCAGGGAATTTAGGGGGTATCGGTATAGAGTATAGTAAGAATGTGAGGAAATTCAATAAATTCATATCTTACGTGGAAGAACATATGTTCCTCCATATCTTTAATCAGTTTAAAAAAGCAGGTATTTGAAAGAATAGTCTTTTCAATGAGTTTTCATCACCTTCTATGGTTAAAATCTAAATTAATGTCCTGAAGAGGATAGCCAGGTTTAAGACAAATACATAATTTAAAATGAAAGTTTGAATTGTTGTTGGAAATAAAATAGAATTGTTATTATTGAAATAACTAGTACGTCAATGCTGAAATGACTAATGTGCAATGTTACATTAGTTTATATGTTCATTGAAATCGTGAAATTAACAATACAAGTAGATATAAATAACACTGAGAAACAACAATATAGGCACAAATGAGAATGAATATTGACCATAAATTACGTAATATATAGAATGATATAAACTAGATAAGAGATAATAACTTGGGGTGGGGTACTAATTCAGACTGGAAAGAAGGATACCTGTTTAACATACTAAAGAAAAGCGATCTCAGCAAGTGTGAGAACTACAGAGGCATCACTATTCAATTTTTCAAACGCTTAACAGTCATGATCATAATACTATATGTGAATAGGGTAGGTTTATAGCATGGGAATGTAGAAAGAGAAAGGTTGTACGTAGACTAATCAAATATCACTATTTCGATAAAATGACTATTAAGGTATTGGACTTGAAGTCGTCCAAGGCGAGGGTTAAACATATTTCTTCTAAACTCAAAGCTGAGGCTTTTTAACCTGAATAGCTATTGTTCCGACGGTGTGTACAATTCCTAGTCTGATGGATTTAAGCAGATAACTATTAACACCGTAAATGACTGATCGGTGTTGGCTGTATGGCCCGTTTGTATAAAATGTTAACTATACCCCTGCTTAACCACGAAGGGGTGTTGACAAGCAGGAAAGTACAAATTCCTGAAACATTTATCAATACAACTTTCTCCACAAGAGCAGATAAGTTGATATACGCAGGAAAAGCTAGTTATTCCATGTAATTTACTTTTTTAATCTCAGAGTAACCATAGAACGTGTACAAAATACTAATTATAGTTTACCTGCATTGAATGCTTTTTAAATTATTCTGAGCAACTTCAATACTAGCATTTCTCTGAGTGCATACCATAAACAGCATAAACGGGAATATTTTATTTACCGTTAGAATGAAATCCTTATTTCTAATTTCTCCAAGTACCTGTTTTCATTTAGGGTATTATACAATACAGTTGTTCACTCCACAATTATAATGAAGTGCACCAACCACATTTCGTTTATATTGTAGAGAAACGAAACTAGGAAAACTTGTCTACTCCTCCATCCAAGTAGTTCTCTTTTTTAAGTTCCTTTATAATTACCCATTTACTCTCTCTGTAAATAAGACTGAATTACAGGCACATATTCGATTCTATTCAGTTTGTTCTAGGCAATGAGTTGGCTGATATTACCAGCTTACATATGTACAAAAAAGTGAGACTCAAAAATTAAGTGCATGGATCTTCACCGACTGACGACTGTATAGTGAATTCCAGTTTGTTACTTAAGGGAGTGGAAATCTCATTCAATGAGTCAGGTTAGAAATGGTACTTCGCCAATTACGGTTTGAACAACCGGTGGAATCAAACTTAAGTTCGTAGGTCTTTACCTGGTAAATTAATTGGACATAAAATAAGCTTGAAAATGAAAAACGGAATATCATAACTTACAGCACGACGCTCCCATTTGTCCACTTTAAACTTGGCCTTCCCATCAATCTTCTCGATTTCCTTACACAAGCGACCCTTGAATAAAGAATAAGCAGAGAAGTAGACAAAACTCAAGGGAAGAGCAGTTATAGAACGGATTAGAAGAGAATGGTTAGAAAGAAGAAATTAAACGAAGCACAACTTAAATGAACACATTTTTCAGAAAAGGTGTAACTGTATCCAAGTCCAAACGTCCTATTGCTGACTATCCCACAAAAGAGATTGTAACAATAAAAAATGTTTTAATAAAATTAAGATAGACATCAATATGGGAGTGCGATCTATGGTCAGTCAGTCAGTCAATAACAACGTGGAACTTCGTACGTACGTACATCAGTTCGAGTTGTCATACCACATTAGCACAGAGATTCAGTTATCGATTCAAATCCCATAGTGGTAGAGGTACTGAAAGTATAAGTAGAGATAGGGGACATTAAGGTTTGATGATGTTATTCAGGGAGTATAATCCAGTGGAATAGATTTGGAAAGAAAATAAAGGACATGAAGAATTCAAAAGATTAGAGTTTGAGAGAACACAAAGAGTGGATGCACCTACGCCATTGCAAACGATTTTGAGCCATATCATTCAAGGTCTCTATTAGCCATGTCATTCAAGGTCTCTATGGATTTACAATAGATTAAAAACAAAATTTAGATTAGAGATCATGATGGGAATAACACTTAAATACAAAAGAATCAGAGCACCAGAGTCATCACCAATCATAATTCAAACTTTCTGGTTTTTATTAGTGACAATGCTGAAAACTAAATCTATGTGAGGTCACAACTTAAGCAAGCAACAAAAAAAGTAAATAATTCATGCATATGTACAAAAAACCCTAACAACTTGTCTGTGGTCCAAAAGATTATTAAAAAATAATAAAACGTTTAGTATAGAACTAACTGCCAAAACATAAAAATCAGAATGCATGAGTAATTGCTTATTACATGTTATGAAATTTAGTCACGTAGAACTAACTTTTTGTGAACTGAGTTCATTGATCTCTAATTATCCAACTGTGACAGACATTGGCCCAATTTTTAGTTAGTAAATAATACACAATGGCAATTAAAACCCAAACCAATCAAAACTTTAAGTTGATACTAGATAACTATTTATAAATTTAGATAGCGCCATCATAAAAAAGTAGACAGACAGGAAGTCACCACTCATTTTGAAAATCATTTTTAATAGTGCGTCTTCTCAACATCTTCAGCTTATACGGACCTTCTTATTCAACAATCAGTACAATTTGCTTTAAACATTTTCAATGAGTATGATCAACCAAATAACTATTTGGCGATATTGAAAACAGCCAGCTTCTGAAACACATTTTGGGTCAAAACAAACATGTTCACTTTAGATAATAAGCTCTCAATCACACAAATAATTGTTTAGGATTATCGATACTCAACAACTAGGTCTATTACAAAGAATTTTATCAAGAAAATAGAGAATAACTGGATATCAAGACGAGTTACAAACGACGAGTGTACATTAGCGGGTCACAGATTGCTACATAACGCGGCATGTTCCGAACGTTTAGGGGATATAATTAAAAATTTGCAGCGTGTGACCATAATTTATGAACGACCTTTGAGCGACGCTGAGGTGACCCTGAATGGACATCTACTGAATAGGACCAAATCAGAGTTATAAAGCAGTTAGGATTCTCAGTTACAGCTGATGGTTAGGGTTAAAAATAAGCTTTAGGGTTTTCATCACGAACTGACACCAGCTGTAATGTCAAAACTCTATTTGGCCAAATGTATGAATGAATTTCGCGCCAAAAGTCGAAACTCGTTATCTTATATCTGACTGGTTCATCCATAAATTAGTCTCGACAGGTACTGAATACAGAATACCACACACTAATAAATTGATACGATACAGTTTAAAACATAGCAAATTTAAAAGATAACCTCACCTGGAGTTCCATGCACAACACTTCCATTTTTGACCGATAACACTCATCACCTGACTGCAGAAATATTTAACACTTTATAGACTTTAGTCTACCTGTAACTTATCGACTGCAGAAACAGGCAAGCACATCCAGTTATTTAGATTTATCTCAGGAAACTTGGTAACAAATGGTACACTAGCACAGGAAACGGAGAGAGATTTATTACTTAGGCCCACAATGCTGTTGTCAGCAAGAGCCCATCGACCTCCAACCAAGAAGGCAGAAGCACTGCGAACAAAAAGAATGTTATGGACAATAATATGTACCCTAGTGCATAAACACAACATCTAAAGTATCGTTGGGTTTTGAAACGATACAGAAACGACACACGCATATTCGTAACGTGAAATTCAAATAAAGCGGCTTCGTAGCTTAGTGACTAATTGTTTCATATCCATAAGGGTCCAAAACAGATAACGAGCAAAAAATAGAGTATTAAGTGAAAGTTATATAATATTTATCACAAAGGTCATATTATTGCGAGTGATGTGTGAGTGTAAAAACGACATTTCATGTGAGGGAACTGATAGACAAAATGTCGTCTTCAGTTTGCTATTCCCTAGTTTGAAAAAGCGAAACTGATGACTGTGATCTTATTTGCTAAAATGACCTTAAAGAGATTTAGGTAATGAGTCGTGGTAGCGTAAACCGGAATATTTTCCTAAGTCACAGTTAACTCTAAATGGTGTTTATCATTAACCTATCGAGTGAATAATTTTAGCAATACTTGCATTATTCGTCATTTCCCCTACTTTGCACACTCACTGTCTTCAAAACTGTTGTTTAAACTTTGAAAATGACATCATCACTGACAGTCTGTTTTCTGCTTGCTTGTCACTAATTATCACTCACGATTACATTATGGCATTTATACTTTACTTACTTACTTACTTTACTTACGCCTGTTACTCCCAATGGAGCATAGGCCGCCGACCAGCATTCTCCAACCCACTCTGTCCTGGGCCTTCTTTTCAAGTTCCATCCAATTCTTGTTCATTTTTCTCATATCTATCTCCATTTCTCGGCGTAATGTATTCTTTGGTCTTCCTCTCTTCCTTCGACCTTGAGGGTTCCATATGAGGGCTTGTCTTGTGACGCAGTTCGGTGCTTTCCTCAATGTGTGTCCTATCCACTTCCAGCGCTTCTTCCTGATTTCTTCCTCCACCGGGATCTGATTTGTTCTCTCCCACAGTAGGTTGTTGCTTATAGTGTCCGGCCAACGGATCTGAAGTATTTTGCGTAGACAACTGTTAATAAACACCTGTATCTTTTGGACGATGGATTTCGTAGTTTTCCAGGTTTCCGCCCCATACAGTAGAATTGTCTTCACATTTGTATTGAAAGTCTTGACCTTTATGTTGGTTGCCAATTGTTTTGAGTTCCAGATATTCTTCAGTTGTAAATATGCTGCTCTTGCTTTGCCAATCCGTGCCTTCATATCTGCATCAGATCCACCGTGTTCATCGATGATACTGCCCAAATATGTAAAGGTTTTTACATCTTCCAAATCTTCTGCGTCAATTGTGATTGGATTGGTACATGTTGTGTTGTATCGAAGAATCTTGCTTTTCCCTTTGTGTATATTGAGACCTATTGCTGCTGAGGCTGCAGCTACACTGGTTGTCTTCTCCTGCATTTGTTGTTGCGTATGCGATAGAAGAGCCAGATCATCTGCGAAGTCTGGATCATCCAATTGCATCCTAGCTATCCACTGTATCCCGTGCTTCCCTTCAGATGTTGATGTCTTCATGATCCAGTCGATCACCAGGAGAAAGAGAAAGGGTGAGAGTAAGCAACCTTGCCTGACACCGGTCTTTACTTCGAACAACTTTGTCAACTGTCCTCCATGCACGATTTTGCAGTTTAATCCATCGTAAGAATTCCCGATGATATTGACTATCTTCTGAGGCACGCCGTAGTGTCGAAGAAGCTTCCATAGGGTTGTTCTGTCCACGCTATCAAATGCTTTTTCGTAGTCGATGAAGTTGATATAGAGTGATGAATTCCATTCAATTGATTGTTCCACAATGATCCGTAGAGTTGCGATTTGGTCTGTGCACGATCTATCCTTACGGAATCCTGCCTGTTGGTCTCGAAGTTGGGCGTCTACGTAGTCCTTCATCCTGTTTAACAATACCCTGTTGAAGACTTTTCCTGGTATTGAAAGAAGAGTGATTCCCCTGTAGTTGTCACAGTTGCTGAGATCGCCTTTCTTTGGTATTTTGACTAGAAGTCCTTCTTTCCAGTCTTTTGGTACCTGTTCCTCATCCCAGATCTTTCTGAAGAGAGTTTGGAGTATCCTTGCAGTTGACGCTACGTCTGCTTTCAGTGCCTCTGCTGGAATGCTGTCTAGTCCTGCTGCTTTGCCACTCTTGATTTGTCTGATAGCCATGCTGATTTCTTCAATTGTCGGTGCGCCAACATCAATTGGGAGGTCCGTGAGTGCTGCTTCGATGTTGGGTGGGTTCAGTGGGGCTGGTCGATTCAAGAGTTCTTTGAAGTGTTCTACCCACCTGTTTCGTTGTTCTTCAATGTTGGTGATTATCTTGCCTTCCTTGCTTTTCACTGGTCGTTCTGGTTTACGGTGATTTCCGGAGAGTTTCTTTGTTGTTTCATACAGTTGTCTCATGTTTCCTTCTCTGGCAGCCTTTTCCGCCGTCATTGCCAAATCTTCCACATATTTACGTTTGTCGGTTCTGATGCTCCTTTTCACTTGCTTGTTTACTTCTGTGTATTCAGCTTGTGCCTTGACTTTTTCTGCTCTTGTTCGACTGGTATTGATTGCTACTTTCTTGTTCCTCCTTTCTTGAATCTTATCCAGTGTATCGACCGTGATCCAATCCTTGTGATGGTGCTTCTTTTGGCCCAGAACCTCATGACATGTTGAAGTGATGGCCTCTTTTATCTCTTTCCAGTTGCTCTCCATAGTAGTTCCTTCTCCATTGAGTAGATCATGAAAGGCTTGGAACTTATTGCTGAGGGTTATCTTGAATTTATTGAGTTTGTCATTATACCGAAGAAGAGCCGTATTAAATTTTTGTGATATTGTCCTCCCCGTTGTCCAGTGCCTCTTGAGTTTCAATTTCATCTTGGCGACCAGCAAGTGATGATCTGATGCTATATCAGCTCCTCTCTTTGTTCTCACGTCCTCCATCGTCCTCCTGAACTTTTTGTTGATGCAGATATGGTCGATTTGGTTCTGTGTGCTGTGATCCGGTGAAGTCCATGTGGTTTTGTGTATGCGTTTATGTGGGAATATAGTCCCGCCTATGACCAGTTTATTGAAGGCACATAGATTTGCAAATCTCTCACCATTTTCGTTCCTTTCTCCCAGTCCGTGTCGTCCCATGATCTCTTCATATCCGGTGTTGTCGATTCCAACCTTGGCATTTAGGTCTCCCATCAGAATAGTCAGGTCTTTTGTTGGGCACTTCTCGACGATTGACTGCAGCCTATCGTAGAATTGATCTTTAGCGTCTTCATTGTAGTCATTGGTAGGCGCGTAGCATTGGATGACGTTCATTGTAATCCCCGTTTTCTTTGTTTTGAAGGAGGCTTTGATGATCCTTGGTCCATGAGATTCCCATCCTATAAGTGCATTTTGTGCTTGTTTGGACAGCATCAATGCAACTCCTTGTGTATGTGGGGCATTTTCTTGTTCATGTCCGGAGTATAACAGCAGCTCCCCTGAAGCTAGTCGTTGTTGTCCAACTTGCGTCCAATGTGTTTCACTGATCCCAAGCACCTCTAAATTGTATCTCCTCATTTCTGCAGCAATTTGGAAAACTCTCCCAGTCTCCCACATTGTGCGAGCATTCCATGTACCTAAATAAATGGTTGCTCTGGTTGTCAGAAGGGGCATCGGCCTCGTGACTTCCGAAGAAACTCGGCTTTCATAATGAGGCGTCATAATTCTTCTAAACGAAGACCTCCTGACTCCCAGGGCAGAGTTTAAATGGTTTGAATAATTTTTTCTGGTTAGCGTTTTTTTAGCGAGTTAGTTTTCTACGGGATGGGGTCGCTAACCCCATGCCCAACCCTCCTCCTTTATCCGGGCTTGGGACCGGCAGTAGCCCCCGGAAAGGGACTCCAGGCGGAGTTATGGCATTTATACTGCTTGTTCCTAATTAATAAGTTGTAACATTGACTAATCACTAATATAATTGCCATGTATGTTTAATGATTACAGTTGTGTCCTCGTTTCTGAGTTGTTACTGAGAGAATATACTTTGGATTTTATACCCTATATGAAATAACTGATTATTCCGCGATCGAAATGACGAACGTTCTACACTTTACAACAAAACTGCCGTTTAAAGTACCCATCTATCTACTGAGATTTTGTATATTATTGACTTAATCTAATTTTTTTCAGCAACTAATCCCTTGCAACTATTAACCAACTTCTTCACATATCGATAGCTTTCTAATTATATCTTCTAACCTCTTCATTACTGACCTCTGATTTGTCTGGATTGATATACTTCTATGATAAGAGTATTACTTGTGAAAAAGTCGTCGAATGCCTGTGGCATCTGTCAGCATTTGTTGTCTGCTGAACGAATACCTCGTTAGAATGCTCTAACAACTTGGTATTTCGGAATTCCAATCAGCTTATCTCTAATCCGTCTTTCGGCTAAGACTTTATTCTGCATGCTGCTTCATCATGCGCATATGCCATTCTAAGCCAGTCAAGAGTTTTATGAACTTTCTATGTGCTTTGGCTGTTTATAACTTTGGTAGTTACATTCGTATATGTTTTGTGTATGCTTGTCTCATATGTCTGTTACCTGTACATGCTATCTGTAATTTATGCGTTATTCAACTTATACTAAGAGTCAACCTTTATTTACTCAGTAAGTCTTTACTGTCAATCCACCTCGCGTCTATTTCTTTTCGTTTGTCTACCAAACCAAATCACTTAAAAACATATACATCTTGAATAATTTCGAAATTCATCTTATTTCTACGTCGAATTAACATGATTAATCAATAAGCCTATTCTGAACATCAACGTTGTTCGATCATCATGGAGTTGAATACGGATGATCAAAACTATTGACTCAAAATAACAGGATTCAAAAAGCAAATGAGTTTGAAGGAATACAGAATTTAAATAAGAAAGCTTAAATATTAATGTAGACATAATGCACAAGTAGTGAGGGCAAGAAAATAAGCGAAAAATGCAGCATAACTAAAACGGAAATCAATATTTGCACTTTATTCTATATCTAGCCCCAACTAGAAACATGTCAACGAGACGATATCATACCGGCCTGGCTGAAGTTCAACATGAAACGGATGTCCGATCAAAAAATGTAGATTATCGCGCAG